CCCCTTAGCTGTAAATGTAGTGGTGCAACCCCAGTTGGATGGCGCCAGAGTCGGTTTCGTTGCTCCACGTATTTTCCCTTTTACCTTCCACTTCAACTCATTCCAACATCCTCGCCAATCCCTCTGCACCTTTCTACTTCATCTTCCTTTTTTGAGATTTTTTTTTTTATCTCTAGCTCTCATGATTCTTACACGCTCGTCATTGCTCTTTGTTTTTTCATCCACGATGGACTCTGTACTCGGGAGAATTCCAGTTTATTTATAACAAATTCTTTATTTTAAGATTATTTTCATTTTAGTATTTGAGCATTTTCGGAAAACGAAGTAATGACGATAATTCTTTTATTACGTCAAATTTTAGCAAATGCAATCCACTCCTGTGGGAATCGCTAATTTATTACCAACGATGTGGATAAAAAAAACAATTAGCTAGTTGTTTGATAAAGCGGCGAATGTGTGAAATGGTTATTGGGGGAATGGGATAGACAAAGTCGGGTACAGGCAACAGCAATTAACTGCGGTTCACTGAACAATGCCTCATGTATTCGTCAAAGCTGCAGTGAGACGAAACACCAGCTCGATATGCCATCGCTATTCCACAACCTTCCAACAATATTTAATTTTCCTCCAGTCGATTGAAAATTAATTGGAACTAATCAACTACTCCGATTAGATTCTGCCCACTGATTATCAAAACTATCCCGCAAATGGATTGCGGTGCTTCCGCAATATTTCATGACCAGAGCACCTACTTACGAATACAAAAAGAAAACAGACAAAGAAGAGTTAAGGAGACAAAGATAGAATTACAGGAACTCGGACAATACAAGGGAAAATGGCAGATGTAGCAACTCCCTCAGGAGGGCCTCAAGACGCAGTTGGTCGATTACAGTAATTAAACGAGTACTCTAATTAAAACGACATCCCGAGAGCTATTCCAACTTTCCACTTCCGAAGGAATAAAAAAAACACGGGAAAACGGGAGATGAGGGACTTGGAGGAAAAATCAATTGTCGGTGGATTGTAAACTGACACTTTTACACTCCATTCATATCCTGAGGAAAATGGACACAGCATATTGTCGTTGCGTGTAACGAGCAAGTTTGCGTGAGGCTATTCTTTGATCATTGATGCACGCCATCGCCACTGATAAACATCGCACTTCAACGACTTGCACGAGAGCCATATTCTCAAAGGCAATTCGACAATAAGAACGAATAAATAGAAAAATCAACTAAACAGTAAATTCAACTCTTAAAATGACAAGGATATGAATTATACCCCGCGAATATGCGAATAGAAAAATTGCCAGAAAAAAAGGGAAAATTGTTGGAAACGATTCGTAAGGAGTTCATTCATTCATTTGAGGGCGAATAACTCTTTGCAAATACATCGGCAATTTTAGTTTATGATATGAGAACGAAAGAAATTTGGAAGAGCCTGAATGAGAGCCTTTCGTTTCTTTCCAATCAACTTATCGGTAAATTATTCCAAAGCACTCGAGGTACTGAATATTTCTCAGAGTCTAGTTACAAAATATATAATACACACGTCGACACTTGAGGCTTCTCTTTATACATGGCTCCTTCGTTATACTCGAGAAATGGATATAGTTAGAGCACCTTTTATCTGGCCGCCAAGTGCCTCTGGCGCAGGTAATTAGCGTGGCGGTTTGAACGATTAACGAGGGGAGGCCGCAGGCACTCCTGGGAGGCTCTCCCCATATTCCTCTACCTGTGGTGTAAAAACCTGCAACTATTTTTCATCATTTTTTTTTTTTTCAAATCCTCTCTCTTCGTTATGGTGTGAATATCATTGAATGAGACCAACTCAGAGATAATGACAGATAAGAGGTTTAATTGTATCTCCTTTCCTTTTTTGCATACCTCTAAAAGTTTTCTTCCATTTTCATCTTTTTGTCAATGCAACAATTAACAAAAAAAAACAACAGTTCAACTTGTAATTAATAGAATATTATAATAATTCAACAATTCCTGGAATTTTCATAATTTTTGGGATTACAAATTTCGAATCCAGAATTTCTTAATATAATTTCCATAAATTAAGTTATTAAAAACCGATAAATGAATCCTTCAATGAAATAATTTTCTTATTTTTTTTTTCCAAATTAAAAGGCAGTGAGATAAATATTATTGCCATACATCATTGGGTGCAATAAAGAATGCATTAACGATAGTAATCACTTGAAGTCGTTAGGAACAATTGATTACACCTCACATTAGACGTGAGGTGTTTGTGAGAAGGAATATCGATGAGGTATCGAAACAGAGTCATGTGCATAAATTGTACATATGCCGATTGGCTTTGTTGTTACGCTCATTGAATCCTCTGTACATTTTCCTGGCAGATGGCGCACCTCAGTGAATCAATATTCGTCGTACACGTTGAATCGTTATTGGGAACTGTACGACACTGTATGGATGAAATATTCAATTGTATTTCTCTTCAAAATAAAATTGAACTCGACAGATACGTAATACCATTAAAGTTGTCGGTCATAAATGTAACCAAACGCATACACACGTCTGATAAAATGAACACCTACTTTGGCCTGTGGTCATTTGAATTTCAATGGGAAAATACGTATTACCCAGTTGAGCCCAGGGGACATTATGTTCTCGCAATGATTATATGTACTCGTTCTTGCAGACGCACCTCCATCACTCATGGAGATGTTATGTACAGCCTCTGGTAACTCGGGGTACAGCTTCGCTAAAAATATCATCGATCATCGCTACTTGTGTTCACATTTCACACAACACTGCAAAATATCTCATTCTGGAAAATTTTTGC